CCAAATGAAAGATCTAATGTTTCAGTAAGTCTGGCAAGTTCAAGGTTCCTGTGACTCTACAAATTGAAGGATTAAAAAAGTTAAAATGAGCTAAAAATATGTCATAATAATGGACTATTTCATACAAATTCTGAATCCAGAATGAAATCAAGACATGCTGGAGGATAATGACAGAAAGGAGGAGGAGATAAAAAGTAGAAACCTTAAATTAGGAGACACAGAATCAAGGAAACTGATGATACTGACATGTGTGTGTGGCCAAGCACAAGTTAAAGTTCCAGTAAGGTGGGTAGCAAGATCTTACAATCAACAGCTCCTCTTTGGAGGCTAAAGCATTGGGACAATTGGTGATAATCTACCAAAGTCCTTGTTTAATTAGTTAAAACTACAAAAGAAGCATCATGAAATGAGCTCAGTTCCCACAGACATTGAAAACATATTTTTAGCCTTGAAAGGTTTTAATATATGGACCACTGACTACAAAAGACAGTCAGAAAGTGAAATAATTAAAAACTTCCATCTTTTCATTACAGAAGGGCCAATATTTTGACAATGCTGGCCTGTCTTCCCAGAAGTGGCAATCCAGAGGCAAGCCTTTCCTTTAAATGTTAAATGGAACATGGACTGTAAATGGCTGGTTACACCATTGCACTCTAGGGAGATGTCTTGGGAATGGAGTGACCATAGGACATGCATTTAATGGGGGATGCCCATCCTGATGCAGGTAGAATGACTGAATGGGTGAGTGAACCAACACACTGCAATCAAATCCCTCTGCCAGTCCAAGAATGAGCTTTGCCTCTTACACAGGAGTGCTTTGCAAATGGGACAGACAGGAGAGCTGGAGTGACTTTGATTCTATCTTCTGTTCAGCACAGCATCTTGACTCAGGATTTAACAGTTCCACCTGGGGCTAGGAAAAAGCTTTCTCCCAGTTAATTACCACATGCTAACTCTGAAGCAGGATCCTCTGAAGAGTCCTCCTTCCACTGCTGAGTGTAGTCATTACCCCCAATATCACCATAATCATAGCCTCCCTCCCTGGCCTTCTGCCTTTAAGCTTGGATTTAGAGTCTCAATTGCTTTGGATAAAATTTAATGTGGCACAGAATGCCACGGGAGAAAAATGACACTATAAAATGCACTTAGGTCATGAGTCATTTTAGTTCTGGGCAGTATTTCCTAGGAGACAGCTCATTAACAGCTAGCTCCACCTAGGCTCTTGTTCTGCTGATAGTAGTTCAGTAGGTAGATGTGAGCATGGTATGTAAAGATCTTCAGTATATGCCAAGAAATAGTTGCCTTAGACCTACATATTTACTAAGCAGCCATTGAATATACAATATTTACTGGACTGAATGTTCAAGCATATTCATATATATACATATATATATATATTACATATATTCATATATAAATGAGGTGATTACATTACATGTATTAGCTTTGCATATGGACTGAAGATTTTAATGATGAAAGCAATATTAATAACAAAACAAGTAGCACCATGTTGTTCATTTAATGCTCACTCTGTGCTAGACATTGTGTTTGAGAGTTTCACACACCAAAAGTTAGTGTGTCACCGGAGCTCCACAGTGTTGCTAGGTAATCTTATTTTTCCCTCCCAGTTCCTGGGGTTTAACATGGGATCTTGTGTATGCCTGGCAAATACTCTACCACTGAGATATTGTAAGCCTTACAAGATTAGTGTCCTAGTTAGGATTTTATTGTTGTGAAAATACCATGACCAAAAGCAATTTGCAGAAGGAAAGGCTTATTTCTGTTTACACAGGTAGTCCATCATGAAGGGAAGTTGGAGCAGGAACTCAAGGGAAGAACTGAATCAGAGGCCATGGAGGAGTGCTGCTTACTTTACTGTTTTCCATGACTTGCTCACTTTGCTTTTTTATAACACCCAGAATAAATCAACCCAGGAGTGATGCTATTCACAATGGATTGGACTCTTCCCCAGCAATCAATTAAAAAAAATATTCCACAAGTTTGCCTAAAGGCCAATCTAGTAAAGGCATACTCTCAATTGAGGTCTCTCTGCCAGATGACTCTAGCTCATTTCAATCTGACAAAAACAAAAACAAAATCCAGGCAAACGAACAACAACAAGAAGAAGAAGAAACAGTGTAATTGATTCATTTCTTGTAGGGAATCAAACTTGCCTTCCTTATGGACTGGGACAGTAACATGATACTAGAGTGCCATGGAAGTTGTGATAATGGTTAGTGGCATAGACTGGAAGAACATATGAATGTGAGTATTTTGCTCAGAGAGATGCCATTCAGCTTTGTCTTATTTTGTCTTAAAGTCACTATGCAAAGGTGCTTCCCCACTCACTCTGCTGCAGTCTCGGCCATATTTTCCATGTCTCCATAAGTTTCATTACAATCTGGGCTCTCTTCAGCTTCATTTCTCAGCATAACCTCATTTGTATTCCCAGAACTCGGTCCCAAGTTGCAATTTCTAACAGAGACTTGGATGGTTTAACTATCACCACAGATGTTTCTTTTTCCTACTGAACAATACTTAAACAGTGCAGAAAAAGACTTTGTAAGTTTCTCAATTGCATGCCCTACATGTTAATTCACACAAAATGTATTTTTTAGCTTGATTGATCTCTTTCATTTATTTTTTGCATATTCTCTCCTGTGTATTGGTCATCATGCCTGTGTAACATACTGCCACTAAATTCATTTTAGTAAAACAACCACTTTATTATCTTCATGGATTCTATGGGCCAGAAATTGAGAGTTAGATTGAAGTGCACTCTGCTCATTTCTCCATGATGATTGTGACATCATTTGGAGGGATTCAGGTCTCTGTGTGTATAGGGAAAGAAGAGATGATAAAATAGCAGATAGGGCTAGAATGTTTTGGAGGTGTTTTCATTCATGTCTGCTGGGGGATGGTCTGTATGTCAAATTGCTCTGATTGGTCAATAAATAAAACACTGATTGGCCAGTGGCTAGGCAGAAAGTATAGGTGGGACTAACAGAGGGGAGAAAAGAATGAACAGGAAGGCAGAAGGAGTCCCTGGCAGCCGCTGCCATGGCAAGCCACATGTGAAGATGCCAGCAAGCCACAAGCCACGTGGAAAGGTATAGATTTATAGAAATGGATTAATTTAAGTTATAAGAACAGTTAGCAAGAAGCTTGCCATGACCACACAGTTTGTAAGCAATATAAGTCTCTGTGTTTACTTGGTTGGGTCTGAGTGACTGTGGGATTGGCAGGTGACAAAGATTTGTCCTGACTGTGGGCAAGGCAGGAAAACTCTAGCTACACATGTCTACTGACAGTTGATTTCAGTTGTGTTTCTAGGCTTCAATTGAACTGGAATACCTATGAATGTATTCTATGTGGAATCTCCTTAAGTAGTGAAACTGGGCTTTCCCTGTCTTATAGCATTTGAATAATAAGAGTTAACATCCAAGGAGACCCAAGAGGGACTGCATTATTTTTTAGTAACAACCCAGTTAATTATATGGCCATGTCCAGCTTAGCCAGCACTTACTTAAGTTCAAGATAAAGGTACCCATAGCACATCTTTCACAGGAAGAGATCCTATTGTTATTAGAAGATCAGCACATGTCATTAGAGATATCCATGGCACTGTATTTAGAAAATAAAGCTTATTTATCTTAACCTCTTCTTTCTATAGTATCTCCATATTAGTTGCTTACAGCAACACAAGTAAGTGAATAGATATCTCAGAGGCAAAACCACATGCCAGACAAGTATGAAGACCAGGAGTTCAGATCCCCAGAACCCATGTAAGTCCAGGTAGGTGTGACAGCCCATCTGTAATTCTAGCATCCAGAAGGCAGGAGCAGGAGAGTCTAGGAGCAAGCTGGGTTATTGGACAAATCAAATAGTTGAGTTCAGCATTCAGTTAAAAGGCATTACCTTAATGAGTAAGGTAAGGAGTAATCCAGGAAAATACCCAGTATCAACATACATATGGAAACACATGTCTGTGGACCTGCACACAAATGTTTTTCTATACAGATACAAACGTGTGTGTGTGTGTGTGTGTGTGTGTGTGTGTGTGTGTATACATATATGTGTGTGTGTGTGTGTATGTGTATGTATATGTATGGGGTGTAAGGGAGAAGAGCAAAATATAGTATCTCATTCTTGTGGACTTGGACTTCAGAACTTTGACATAGGTCTTTCTGGACTAAAATTAAGGTGTCAGATAAATACTCTTCTTCTAAGGACAAGGGATGAGAATGCTTTTCCCAATTAGAGGATTTTCCATGTTCCTGGGAATATAGCACTGAATCAATGTGGGCTCTGCCTCTGTTGTCAAGTCTCTGAGTCTGACATTACTACCTTGATTTTATGTAGACATTTGTAAATTCAGTACCTCCTTTTGTGCAATAACCCAAGATAATTTCCCGTTGTAAAGGTTCCTTTTTTCTTTATTAAGAATTTGTTTAATTCATTTTATATACCAACCACAGATTCCTTTCTCATCCCTCATTTTCTTCTCATGTATGCTTCAGGGAACTACAACATGAATGATTTACCCTTTGTAATTTAATTGTAAATGTATCCACAGTGTTTCTTCATTTTAATATGTTGTCTCATGTGCATACATTGAATGTTTATCTTTAAAAGAACATAAATAGACATTGATTTCTGTCTGTTAAGTTTACTAATAACTCCAAATGTGCACATACAGATACTTAATAAAAACACGTTGTCACATTTGTCAAAGGTTTTGTGGAAAACCAAAAAGAATAAACAAGGCTAAGCCAAGAATGCAAGATGACTTTTACTAAATTAATCTTTGAATTTTGTTTTAAGGTTTATCTAATTTTCCCAACTTCTAACATAAAATATTGTTACTCTTGATAGATATATGATATATTAAAAGTAAATTAAAAATACATCAGAAGTTGTTTGCTTTACTTGTATCTCTCTCTCTCTCTCTCTCTATATATATATATATATATATATATATATATATATGTATGTATGTGTGTGTGTGTGTGTGTGTGTGTGTGTGTGTGTGACATATATATGACAGACAGTCCCAGGAAGATGGCTTCTGGGAGAGAGTCAGTTTTCTTCATGGATGCGGATCCCGAGCAGCTACCCATGCTCAAGTAGATGGTCATCCACCTATAGAAATACAAGCAAGAAAGAGAGAAAGAAGTTGACAAAAAAGTAAGTAAAAAAAGGGTGGTGTGAGAGGCACTGGAATGGTGAAAATGGGGTAAATTATACTAAAATGCATATGCTTGTATAAAATTATCAATGAAAATTTATCCCAAATTTATTATTCATTAGTCATTAAATACCCAGTATCAGCAAAAGTTCATCCTAGAAAGTATTTAGGGTCCCCGGAGAAATGATACAGTTTGTGTGACCTTTTACTGATTGAAGGTCTCCATATGAGGTAGGAGATACAAGTGCAAAATTACATCTGGACACACAACACTGTGCATGGTGGACAGGGAAGGAAAAGTCAGTCCTTTCTGGGGACAACGAAAGTAAATTCCCAAGTTTTGTTTTCTCCTTTCACTCATTGGCCTAATCAAGTCAGCACCAACCGCTTCCTAGTCTGGTCATGGTTATTTCACCAAGACTCACAAAACATATAAAATGTCACATTATAATTTATCATTCAAAAGTAGGGTAGTTTGACACACAGGGTAGGGCTCCACTGTTCAAGTAAACCAGACGGCTGCATAAGCAGCGGCGAGGAGGGAGGAAATTAGGGACAGAGTGTGGCTAGGAAAAGAAAACAAAACAGAAACACATGTGTTTGGATAAGGGAGAAGCTAAGAAAATGGATATCCAGGCTTGTAGCAGCAATAGCTGCTGCTTCAGGAGGAGGCAAGGGAACAGGGGGATTTATATTTCAGTGCTTGTATGACAGGCTTCAAAGCTTAGGGAACAGTACCATTAGCTGACTCACATTAAGTATTTACCCAAATCAATTCACTGGGGCAGGAAGTGCATTCCGGTTTTGAAAGATGTGGAGTATCACACTGCATGATTAGAGACAGACACACAATTCACCAAAATGCCAAAACAGCTCCAAAGCGAGTGCACTCTTTCTTACTTGTTATAAACCTAAAAAAAAATCCTGTTTTGATGATTACCGATGACTTCATTATCCCCAAGCTTTCAAAACAGCATCAGTGAAAGTTGGGTAGGAAGTTTGAAGTCACAGAGAACATGTATTTGAAGCAACTCCAAGGTGAACAACTAGGTAATCAGTGCACTTGGATTTTTTTTTCCACTCTATCAACAATACCATGCCTTGATCCTGCTTCAACCAAGGGAGAGTAATGTTGTCAGAGAATTTGAATAAAAACTTCTAATAAAATTTGTAGGCCTATCTAGATACAACATAAGACAAATTACTATTACTATTAATTGGCTTTCCTTTGTTATTTAGCTGCTTAAGATCAAATCATTGCCATTTACTATAATTAAGACTCAAGAAGTTTATTAAAGAAGACTGTTATAGCTTGTGTAATTTCAGTAGTGATATTAATAAGCCCTGTCACTAATACTACAGCTGCCTTATCTTTATCCTGCTTTGTTTTGTGGAAGACACATTAATAATGTTTTGGTACCCTTGGTTATGGTGCCACCCATGTTGTTTGGGGGACATATTTTCATTCTATTTCTGGTCTTCAACCACTTCCAAGAGTTTTTCATGGTTGTGTACTTCCATGTACTTCTATATAAACTGTTCTCTTTCCAAAATCCCATCCCACTTATTATTTGCTTTCTTCTGTTGTGCCTTTAACAATCACACTCAGTTCAGAAGCCATCTCTGCAAACTCTCTCTTCTCTCAGCATTCCATTTATTGGCATGCTAATAGGAGAACTTGAGCCTGATTTTCAAGGGTGTATGAGAAATACAAGCTCCCTTCCAACCAGTATGGATAGACCATTGACTAATGATGAAGCTCCTCCCGTGGATATATGGTTGATGCAGATGATCAGACTAAGATGACCAGGAATATCATTTGAGCTTTTCAAATTTGAGCTTAATAAACTGATTCATTTTGACTCTTGTAAGACTGAATTATAGAACTTGGAGAAAATTAAGATAATCCTGCAAAGAAATGGGCCTAGACATGAAGATACATGTATGAACTTGCTGAGGACTTTGCATCCAGTTACACCTGAAGACACATTTGTTTCTACTCTTTAGTATGAACTATGCATATAACAAACTGACAAGCAAAGCACTCCATGTCAATCATTTGTCTCTCTCACCACCTGGAAGTCAGAACATTTGGAGACAATGCTTATTTATATCTGTGCCTCAACACTTGACACAGCATCATCTTAGGAGTTCAATAAATATTTGTCAAACAAGAGAATAGAGACCAATCTTGTTTCTCAGTAAGATAGTTGTAGAGTACTCTGATGTCTACTGTAATAGTTCCAGGTGACTGACAGCTTCTAAATGTAGCAGGAGATTGATTCTTTCACTTTTAAAATAATTTATCCAGTTCCACTTTACTGTTCTCCCTAGACCTTCTTTCTACACACAAACACACACACACACACACACACACACACACACACACACACACACACACACTTCTGCCGACAGTATTTTCTCTGTCTGCTGTCTTCTCCTTCGTCCCTTGGGAAAACTTTCTGTGAAGTGCTGTTCAAATATCAAAAACATTTCCCAAATATTTCAGGATACACCTCCCTTTAGACCTTGGAAGACATCCCTTTATCTCACCCATAAGAGCAGATTACACTTGGTTTATTTCATTATGTAAGATTTATTCATCTTCAAGTCCACCTGTGCCATTCCCAGAGTTTTTTTTTTTTTTTATTAGAGAGAAACCTATTTTATTTATCCCTATGTTCTGTTTCTGAAATAGCTATGGGCACATAGTTAATGCTCAACATGTACTTGAAAAGAAATCATTCTAGAAATAATTTTTGCCCAAGTCAAAATTGAATACAATAAACAACACATATTATAATTTCACTTTTATAGGTGAAATATATGGTATTACTTTCATTTGTGAAAAAAGAAATTTCATGATTATACTAGTGTATCCTTAAACTTTAGCACATTTTTGACAGAAAATGAGAAAAGCTTATAAATAACATAAATAACTCAAACAAACTTCAATTTTTTCAATTGTGATGCCTCATTTCATGAAACAATCATATTATTTTCCCACTGGCCAGATTCAAACCTAGAATCTTCATAAGAACAGAAGACAGTGTCTTTTGAACTCTGCATTCTCTACCATTCAGGTGAATATTTTCTATGAGTTCTATAACTTTTAGGTGAATTCTATACCTTTCAGGTGAATATTTTCTATGTTAGGGACTTTGATAACTTGTATTGAAATCTTCAGCACGATTCTGTGAAATGTACTTTAGCTCACTGGGTGTTGCTCACATATAGAACAATTACCTAGAATGCACAAGTATATGGATTGGATTCCTGAACATGTCAAATAAATAAATAAATAAATAAATAAATAAATAAATAAATAAATAAATAAATAAATAAGTAAATAAATAAATCCTGTTTATGGATGATTGAACACAGATTTGAAATGTAGTCCCTAACTTCTAAATTTTTAAACTGAATGAAATTCAATTTAATTATTTGTGACCACATAGACCGTCTCAAACTCTCTGCAATAAAAAAAAATATCAGAGCAATAAACATGGTTAAGGGTTAAACAAGGTCTGTGTTCAACTGAGCAAAGCTTTTGAGAGAGTCATGCAAAGTAATGACCTTCCTTAATTAGCCCTGCCAATTCCTGTCAATATTCTACAGCAAGGACTTAAAGTAGCTACTTAAATACCAATTATTCAGAAATAGAAAACAAACAAGAGGCACAAGGCAAATGTCCAGTTTAACTTACCATAACACAGAGAAGCATTTGTCAATGGAGACAGCGATTAGAACTGGGCTCCTTGGCCCAAATCGGACTGCCAAGCTAACTAGCTAAAACGTACATACTTGTTACTGTTGCATTGATTTCTCTTTTTTGATCTGAAGATCCTATTGCACTCTTCCTTTCATGTCTATCTTACGAGGCTGAGATTTCACTGATTTGATAGTACTCAATCATTTCTGACTTTTCATTTCCTTGTCTACTCATGATCTCATGATTGTGCTGATGGTTTTTCTTGGCGTGAGACCTTTAGAGCCCCATGGATAATAAAATCAAAACTAAAAGCAAACAGGTTAAACTGAGAGGAAACATAGTAACAAATAAGAATCCAAAGGGAAAATACAAAAAGAAAGCAGAATCAAATAACAACTAAAATAAATGCAAAAAAATTGAAAGATGAACTAGGGGTGATATAGGAATCTCTAATTCCTCTTATATGTTGTGCTTGGAGCCCAAGTAAACACACTTGGTCGCAAACTGTGTGGATTGAGCTAGACTAGCTGTGACTTTTAAGGTGGCAACAAGCCAAGCATAGAGATCATCCTGGAACTCTGCTGCCCCTTGCTAACATTCCCCTCAACAGCAGGGCTACATGAGTTAGAATCAGATGCAGGTTGAGCAATTTGTTTCTCATCAAATGATCTGAGGAGGAATTATGAGCGAACTTGTGTTTTCTCTGCAGAGGTTTTTGCTCTGCACTTGAGTATTGCAAGTGCAGACCTGTGTGTTCTTCTCTTGTGCTGACATCCCATGCATTTTGAATTCTGGTGGTGTCCAGTCTGTGTGCCTAGGTTTAAAGAGCATGCCAAAGATGTGGAGATGGGTGGATGATCCTGACAGTGGGATAGAAGTCAGTTGCCATATACAGTAGCAGAGTGAGGCTAACAGGAACTTAGAATTCCACTTCCCTTTATCCTGGTACCATTAGAGTTAGGCCCCTATGAAACTAAAAGTGACTGGTGTTACTCAAAGCCACAGACGTCTGATTTGCTGAACTGCTGATTCTGGGGGCAATTCTCTCAATTTAACCTTCTGCTTCTATTTGTTTGAAATTCTCAGATTCAATCACATACAATTCCAAGAGCCAAAATTATTTCCTGTGACTGGTCAAAGCATCAGGGCATATTCAGGGACTCTGTGATATTCTTATGCCGAGTAACTGACTCCTAGAGCATCAGGGTCTTGGACAACATGCTGCTGCCAAAGCTTTCTTCAGACTGGAGTACTCTTAATGTTTCCAAAGAGATTCAGTGAGCTGCTTATTTGGGGATAGCATGTTATCCAGACTCCATGTCATTGATTTCAAGTCCTTGGGCAGCATCCTTCTGTGCAGTGCTGGCCATCTCTTTCATAAGTTTTCATCCTTTGAAGAATGATTCTTCTTCCCCAGAACAAGATGCCAAACACCAACTTCTTGGAATATTCCATTTTTCACTTGCTTTGTAATTCACCCAAATCTCTGCATTTTATGAAGTTTATTTTCCAGTGTCTACCCACATTCACCTCCCTACACACTATCCATGCATTTCTTTTTCTATGCTGCGTGGAAGAGCAGACTGATTCTATGTGACTCTATTCTACCATTTTATCATCTCTTGGTATTATCTTTGAGCTTATTCTCTGTCCAAGTAAAGTGCATGGAAAAAATGGTGCATCCCCAGAATAGGAATTACATCTCATCCTGCTACCCAGTTCAAGGCTGTTCTTATGAGAGACAGTGAGTTAGAATCCAGGTGATAGAAAACCATGGAGGCATATAGCACAATGTAGAATCAGTCTAAGGCAAATGTGCTTCATCAAAGATAACTGGGGGCAAACAACACTAAAAGCCACACCACGCAATCAAAGTGAGATTTTTGGCAAATGATCAGCAATTTCCAGCATAACCTTTTCTCCACATGTCACCCCCGGTGTCAGACTCCCACTTATGTCAGATGATGATATATCTGAAAGGAAATGACAGCCTAAGTCATTTCCCCCTTGTTTTATTTTTCCTGTTCTGAGGCTTCAGATGCAGTGTGGAATGTGCATTCATTTTTATACTGCATGGTACAATTGTGGAGCTGGGTTGTTAGATGGAAAGCTTCATAGGACTTGTCTTCTAAGTTGTGAATGATCCCATTGAGTGGCAAACCCACCAAGGCACCATTCTAGCCAAGTGTGGTAAGCTCAGCTGACTCTCCTTTTAGAGAAAATAATTCAAACACTAATTTTAACCAAGGACTCAGGAAAACTTTAGGAAGCAGATTGTACCGTTGCAGCCTTCTTGCATGAGTGATAATTGGGCACGGGGAAGAGAGAGTGGAAAGAAAGTAAAGAAAAATGCATGTAAATTCATTTACTACAATATCCTGAGCATGAGGAGGAGGAGAAAAGACATTTGTAGTAAGCAGCACAACAAATACACTTTTATTCCTAAACAAATCATCTGCTATTTCTAGAGTAAAGGAAGATCTCTGGTGTTGAGAATTATGTCAGACCCCTCTCACTCTTGGCAATTGACCTTATTTTTACTATACCTGAGCTATGTAAACAGTTGCTTATAGGAGGTGCTTCACCTCCCTGTACCTATCCTTCACCTATCCCAAACATCTTTACTTCTTACCAGGGAGTCCTCCAGTACTCGGGAGTCAGCGGGAAGGTGGCAGTTCAGTTCCATTTCAGAAGCAGATTGCAGATGACATCATCAGGAGCCCCTGTTGGTCAGTGGAGAAGAGGGGACACTGCTTAATATCTCCCTTGGTGTGTCCTTTCCATGGGCTTCCTGGTTCCTGCCTGTCTGCACATAGCAGAATATTCACAGTGAGAACTCCAAGTGTGGAGTTCACCTGCTTTGAGAATACAGGAAGGATCTCTGTTCCTCAACACAGTACAGCTGGTGCTTTGATCTTCTAGCATATACCTAAGTCATAGCATATTGGCTATTGTAACTTGCTTTGCCATGGAGAGCTTTGTTTTGCTCTCTCTTTTATGAACTAAAGCTCTCCTCTATTCTCTTTCCCCTTTCTCTACTGCATTATAAATAATCTTCCAACAGATTTTAATTTTGGGAGGTTTTGAGGATAACTTCAGAATGCTCTAAGCTTTCTACACCAAAAACAAACAAACAAACAAACAAAAACCCTTAGGGTAATTTTGACCTTGCTATTTTTGTTCATCATACCTGATAAGCCCTGTTCATTCTTGTTTTAGTGGTTATCTTTCAAAATCTTTCATAAATGCAGACTCACTCCCTAGTCACATGGTAGAAACTTCTACACTGTAGTCCTAGAGACATACTGCAGCCATCTGACATCTGTACTCTCTGTGCCCACCCAATTTCCACAGCCTCACACTGCATAATGTTTTACTGGTGTTAGCCAGATCCATGAATTTCTGTGAACAACTGTCCCAAGCAAACTTCCCCTTTGTACACAGGAGACTCATCAAGAAGGCCTTCTTGTACTATGCACCCAGCAACAACTTCTGCCACACAGGCACTTCTCTATCTCAGACACAAGAGAGTTTAGGGCCTACTACTTGAAGTTGCTTTTAGCCATTCAAATAATGCAGAGGAGTTATTACTTTTATAATCCCTTTTCAATTATCTCGTGAAAGTATTTAAGGAGGAAATTAGGATAAAATTCCATCTATTCATTATACATTACAGAGACGTATAAATTATAACCCTGTTTGGTGAAAGTTCCAAACATTTTTGACTATTTGTCATGCCCCCTTGCTACATAGCTATCTCCCACGATTCAAATTAATAGGTTTCATTTATATTCCTTTGTACCAGTTCAGGTAGCTTGAATGGGACTTACAGTTAGCTTTAATCTGAATATATTTTGTTCATTAAAATGTGAGGTTTTCCTCTCCCACCAATTCTCCTTTTAGTTACAGCTAGGAATCACTACAAGGGCTATAAAGGACTTAATTCTAGCTCTTGGGCTAGTTTTCCTCTGGGTGTAGGATATGGACATTTACACATTCACATTTCACCTAAGTTCCAGGCAGCTTAGATCTGAAGTAATGATTCCAGATCTCGCTGCTTCTTCCTCTTCCAGCTTGCCCTTGCCAGCAGCACAGCCATCTGTGACAGCTCTCTGGTGGCATCTTCAGCTGCACAACACACCTGTGATTGAAAAGGCAGTTGAGCATCTGACATGATGCTTTTCATTATTCACTTTGTGCTCTGATTCTCCCCAGATTGACACACTTCAAAAACATTAGCAATTCTGAGATTTGCAAGATGAAATCGTTTTCTCTATTTTCATGTCAAACTAGCCTTGTTTTTTCTGGTTTCTCTATAAATCCCATAAATACAAATCAAGTGATTGCTCCTCAGAAGAAGAAAGCAAAACTGCCACATTGCTTCCAACTAATTCTTAGTTACTGAACCAAAGCTTGGAAACCACATCTCCTTAGGATCTAGGGGATTTGTGCGCCATGAGAGTAACTGTTCTGGAATTTAGCCAGGGAGGTAAAAGTGAGAAAGTGGCTATTGTTTTAGGGTCTAATTAATGAATGAAGCATTTAAAAATACCCACAGTTAACTAAGCACTTCTCTTTTTATCCCATCTTTGCTTCATTCAGTTTCAGTATTTGAAATATGATCCAGGAAGAAATTAGCCCCACTAAAGAAACGTATGCTATGATATATATTCACTTGACTCCATGGTTGGTAACTGTGAAGATCTTAGTAATAACATGTAAACTGGAAACCTGTCTATAAAAGACCCAGAAGCAGTTTTTATTTCTTTTATGTTCAGATTTTAGAAGAATAACAAATCATACAGTGAGGAATAACTGGATACTCTGTGGATTACCAATTATTCTGTTTATTATGTGCTAACATCATGATAAAGATGTTCAGTAAAGAAAAAAGAATCAGTGTTTGTTACTTAGGTTTTTCAGTTCTTAAGTAACTTGTGAAAAATTTTAAACTTAAAATGAAATTCCATTTTTTTGTATATTATTATTTTTTATTTCACATACTGACCACAGTTTTGCCTCTTTCCTCTTCTTCCTTTCCCTACACTCACCTCTCTTCTAGGCCATCCCCATCTACTTCTCCTCCATCTCCATTCAGAAAGGGGCAGGCCTCCCATGGGAGTCAACAAAACATGGCACATCAAGCTGAGGCAGAACCAAGTTCCTCCCCCTGTATCAAGGTTGGGCAAGGTGACCCAGCATGGGGAATGGGTTCCCAAGAGCCAACTCAAGTGCCAGGGACAGGTCCTAATCCCACCTCTAGGACCCCACAAACAGACCAACTTATATAACTCTCACACATGCAGAGCACCTAGGTTGGTCCCATGCAGACTCCCTAGCTTTCAATTCAGAGCTCCCACAAGCTCAGGTCAGCTGTCTCTGTGGGTTCCCCTGTCATGACTTTGACCTGCCCTGGCTCATATAATCCTTCGTCTCTTCAACAGGATTCCAGGAGCTCAGCCCAGTGCTTGGCTGTGGATCTCTTCATCTCCTTCCATCAGTTACTGGATAAAGGCTCCCTTATAGCAATTATGTGGCATGAATCTTAGAAAGTGTTATTAATAAAAACAAACCTCAAGCCAGGTATTGGGGTGACTGCTGGAAGATCAGAGAAGCAGAAAAAAAACACAGCTACCTCACCCTGCCAGTTCCTTATATGATCCTGTTTCCTCAGATTGGAAGCCTCTGTGTCCTCATCTGAATGGGTCTCAGCTGAACTGCTGCTCAAAAGCCTAAAAGCTTAACCAGCCAAAAGCTTCTAGTTTCTGGTCTTCATGCCTTATGTACCTTTCTGCTTTCTGCCATCACTCCCTGGGATTAAAGACTCGAGGTTCTTTGGACAGGGCAGCCCTTTAGGAGCTACTTAGTAAAGGACTTATCAAGCTGGTTTCAAAGCACAGAGTCCAAGTAATTTACACCAAAAACACAAAGGGTGGAGAAGCCCCAGCTGCTGGCGAAGATGCTTGAACAGGTTCAATCAGCTGCACATTTGGAAAAATAAAACTTTTTTAAATAAAAAAAGACTCACTTTCTGGGATTAAAGGCATGAGTCACCATGCTTGGCTGTATCCTTGAACACACAGAGATCCAGGTAGATCTCTGCCTCTGGAATGCTAGGATTTAAGGCATGTGCTACCACTGCCTAACCTCTATGTTTAATATTGTGGCTGTTCTGTTCTCTGACCCCAGATAAGTTTATTAGCATGCACAATATTTCGGGGAACACAATACCACCACACAATTAGGATAGTCACCAATCTGAGTACAGGAGAAGGCCAGTTCAGGTACCCCCTCCATTATTGTTAGGAGTCTTAGCTGGAGTTTTCTAAAACTTCTCTATTATCTCCCTAATGAAACTTCCTGAGTGACTGTTTCAATTTCTTTGCTTATGACATATTTAAGAGAATATGTCAAATTCAGACAGAACTGAGGAGTGGTTTACATGGCACATTGAATGAGGGAATATGAGTTCTTGGTAAGCTGTGAAAATTTGCATGAACACAGTGTGTTAATCATTGTGAATGGGGATTCCCACCCCTGTGTGTCATCAGTGAGTTTAAATGAGTGACCTTTTACCAGTCTTTCTCTGAATATCAATTTCTGAGATCCTGCATCAGGAGGGCAGAGAGGGACAATTTAATTGTTTCTAGAGGATACTCTAATCCAGAGGCTTTTGTTTTGCAGTATTACATTCCAGATTTAAAAGATAATGTGGTATTGGCCTTGAAAAATAACTTAGTGTGCATGCATGTGTGTACTATGTTCACTACCTGTGGAAATTATAGAAACACTTTGGGTATTATTCCCTTTGAATTGCTTTTATATTCTCTTTTTTAGGGGGGACAGGTATCTCCCTGGAGCAGGACTCACCCAGCTTGTTAAGCTGGCTAGCCACTGAGCCATAAGATTACCCCTATCTCCACCTCTCTACTCTGAGATTTCTAGTGTAAGCTGATTTCTGATTTTTTTTTAAACCTGAGTTTTGGGGACCAAACTCTTTACCCGTGTGAATTCATAGATTTTCACAGCCTACCATGAACTTATATTTGCTCATTCAGTAAGCCATGAACCCCTCATTGGTTCTACCTAAAGCTGAATGCTTCACGAGCAAAGAGACTGATGAAGTCCTGCCTGTCTGCAGACAATACAACATATGTGGTTAAACCTCCAAGAATATGTCTCTAGTGTTTTGGGGGGATATTTGATATCTGTTCATCTGTGAAGTATAGCTGGTTATTTGACTGTCCAGAATCTACCTAAATCTTAGAATTTCTTGTAATACCCCAGATAATCAAAGCATTTGCCTGAATGTGAAAAACATAAAAATGCAAGATAGCTTGACCCACATCTGGTGCATTGATTTCTTGTCCATTTCAGTTTGTAGAGTCACATGACACCTCAGTTTCTTATTCATTCACCAAGTTGGATAAGCTTAAATTATTGAATTCTATTGTGTACTTCTTAGAAAATAGTATTCTACATATTTATCTATAAAGGCACTCAGGTAAACCCCTCATAATCATGTGGGATGAAAAAGTACAGGGAATAAAAACAAATTTCCTCATAATGCATAATGTGTGTGTGTGTGTGTGTGTGAGAGAGAGAGAGAGAGACAGACAGACAGACAGACAGACAGACAGACAGACAGACACAGAGAGACAGAGAGATTAGGTTCTCACTGGTTTCCTGTCTATATCAGAAGCCAGTTGAGGAAGACTAGATGTACACATGAAAAAGTGGATTTTTCTTATTTTATAGCTACTGGAGATGCTGGGTTAGCTGTAGGAAAACAAACAAACAAACAAACTTGTGAATACTTCATTCCAAACTAAGGGCTCCCTTGATTTCTCGTAAGGAGATTCAAGAAAGGACCAGAGTTTGCATCTCTGTTGAACACAGGGATAAGAGAAGAGGATATTCTGAAGTCGGGCCCACAAGAGAATCAAAGGCTGAGCCATGTCCCAGACTCTTGTCTTAAAGACATGCGTATGACTCCACTTAAAGGAAGTGTCCCCAAAGTGTGATTGTTGTGAAAAGTTTTTGTTGTTGTTGCTAAAGGAAGTGAGTAGAGGAACAGAAAAATCTGAGATCTATGGTGCCATTCCTGAGGCTATAAACAAAAACAAACAAACAAACAAACAAAAAACAAAACTTACCTGAAATCCATACTTAGCTGGTTAACATATGCTATTTGTTCAATCTAGACACCTCAAATAAAGAACAGGCATCTCCCAGCGGTCTCTCCATTGTGCTATTTTTTAGAGAGTAGACTTACTTTATGCCCCCTTTTCAGAATTCTGTCAAGTTGGAACCCATTACAGTGTATTTCAGGGGCACTGGAGTTGCCTGTTGTAAAGTCAGAAAAAAATCTCTACATTATGTTTCTCTACTCAATGTCCTGGAAGTGCTCCGAGTGAGTGTATCTATGTGGGGGGACTGAGCCTTCTGACATCACACAAAACAAAGAAAGTTACTGGCTAGAGAAATCTCACTTTCATTAAAATACTCTTTCTTGGGACTAGAGAAATGGCCTAGCAGTGAAGACCACAAGAAAACATGCTAATTCTTCCAGTGGACCTGAGATTTGTAAGTAACCATGTCAGGTGACTAACAACTACTTTTAATTCCAGCTTCAAGAGGCTATGTGCCCCCTGGGAAACATACACACCCAAACATTCACACACCCACACTCCCAATATCCTTATTTTACATCCTGACCAAAGTTTCTCTTCCTTCCTCTTTTCTTATTCCTCCTTCCCAGATCCTCTGCCCCCACCTCATACATTCTTCATCTGTTTCTGTTCAGAAAGGGGCAGGCCTCTCAAGGGTGTCAGCCAAGCATGGCATATCAAGTTGACGTAAGACTAAGCTCCTCCCAGGCTTGGTAAGGCAACCCAGTATGAGGAAGAGGTACCCAAAAGCCTGCCAAAGCATCAGGGACAGGCTGTGCTTCTACTGGTAGGAGTCCCACAGCTAAACCAAGCTATACAACTGTCACATATATGTAGAGGGCCTAGGTCAGTCCCATGTGGGCTCCCAAGCTGTCAGTCCAGTGTCTGTGAGGTTCTGTGAGCCCAGATTAGTTGTCTCTGTCTGTTCCTTTGGGATGACCTTGACTCCCTGGATTTTAT